ACAATTCTTGTCTCCACACTGCCAAACAGATCTATTTTATCACTCTCATTAACACCCTCTCACGCAATCCCCATCAACTCTTTTTTACCTTTAATTCTCTACATCATCCTTCTTTACCTCTACCCACTAACTCACTCACTGCCCAGGAGATTGCTAATCACTTCAAAAATAAAATTGATACAATTCGTGATGAGAAGCTAACCAAACCACCTTGCCCCCTGGACCCTGTTCCCTCACAATTACTATGGGCACCCTCTGGCTCTATCCTTCATTCTATAACTCATATCTTCAATCCCTCCCTTTCTACTGGCATCTTCCCCAACACTCTAAAATATGCACTAGTCACCCATATACTTTAAAAAGCCTCATTGGCCCCATCAATCTTAGCAACCTAAGTCCCATGTCCTTACTCCCTTTTGCCTCCAAACTCCTTGAACGTCTAGTCTACAACCGGCTGAGCTGCCACCTTTTTGAAAATGACCTTCTCGATCCCCTTCAGCCTGGATTTTACCCACAAAAGTCCACAGGACCTGCTCTCCTAAAACTAACAAACGACTTACTAACCACTAAAACCAATGGTCACTATTCCGTACTTTTGCTCTTGGACCTCTCCGCTGCCTTTGACACAGTTGACCACCCTCTCCTCCTCAAAAAACTCTATTTACTTGGTCTTCCTGACTGTACTCTCCATTGGTTAGAATGTTACCTATCTCACCACACCTTAAGTGTCATTTACAACTCTACTTCCTCCTCTCCTACTCTTCTTACTGTCGGGGTCCCCCAAGGTTCTGTCCTTGGACCTCTCCTATTCTTGATCTACACTTCTTCCTTGGGTCAGCTGATAGCTTCCCATGGTTTCCAATACAATTTCTATGCTGATGACACACAAATTTATCTCTCTACTCCTCAGCTCACCCCATCAGCTTCCTCACGTATCACCGATTTACTAACAGACATATCAGGCTGGATGTCATACCACTTCCTAAAACTCAATCTATTCAAAACTGAGCTCATAATATTTCCTCCCCCACGTGCCTCTTCCTCTGATTTCTTGGTCAGAATCAATAGTACCGCTATCAACCTATACCTGCATGCCAAGGTGCTAGGTATAACCCTGGATTCTGAACTATCCTTTCAGGCCCACATCCAATCCCTGTCCAAATCATGCCACCTCAACCTCCACAACATCTCCAGAATACGCCCCTTTTTAACCAATTATACTACAAAGTTCCTAATTCACTCCCTATATCTCTGCCTCGACTACTGCAACTCCCTCTTCATTGGCTTACCTTTACATTGACTATCCCTCCTCCAGTCCATCAGGAATCCTGCTGCTAGGATCATCCACCTTACCAACCGTTCAGTGTCTGCTACCCCTCTCTGCCAATCCCTCCACTGGCTTCCACTCGCCCAACGAATAAAATTCAAAATACTAACAACTTACAAAGCCATCCACAACTCTGCCCCCAGCTACATCACCAACCTAGTCTCAAAATATCAACCAAACCGCTCTCTTCAATCCTCCCAAGACCTTCTGCTCTCTAGTTCCCGTGTCACCTCCTCCCATGCTCACCTCCAGGACTTCTCCCAAGCTTCTCCAATCCTATGGAACTCCTTACTCCAATCTGTCCGCCTCTCTCCTAATCTATCCACCTTTAGACGATCCCTAAAATTCTTTCTCTTTAAAGAAGCCTATCCTGCTTCTACCTAGTAAACTACTATTTATTTCCTCCATCAGCTCATCCCCCACAGCTATTACCTTTTGGATCACCTAACCCTTCCTCATAGGTTGTAAGCTCTAATGAGCAGTGCCCTCTGTTTCCTCTTGTACCAAATTGTATGGTAACTGTAATGTCTACCTTCATTTTGTAAAGCGCTGCACAAACTGTTGGCGCTATATAACTCCTGTATAATAATACTAATAATAATAATATTAATAATAATAATAAAAGCAGGCTAAGTCCTAGTAACACTTCTTCACCATCCTGGAGGCTTGTAAAGAAGTGCACCTTCACTTTGTACATAAAGGATAGGGGAAACGAGAAAGCCCAGTGGTATTTAATTTTATGGTTTGTCAGATGGAAAAGTAGAGGTTTTAGGGAATGTCTCCTTTGGCTGGTCAGTTGGGATATGTCCACAAATATTTGGATGGTATGTCCTAGTAAAAAAATATCCCCTCTGGATCTAGCAGCCATCATAATTTTCTCTTTGATCCTATAAAAGTGTTGTTTAATGATCACATCTCTGGGCAAACTGTCAGGCTTCGATGAAAACAATCCAATTCCAATTGATGCGGGGAAAGATCTGGGATGAGATCTCGCATCAATGTATGTATAGCTGATTCCAGATCTATAATGGTTTCAGGTAAACCCGATTCTAAAATTATAGCAACGAGATATGTTCTCCAGGTCCTTAATTTTGGCATTCACCTGGTCTAGCTGCTCCTGAGTAGAAATAATAATTTTGGTGTTTTGGTTCACTCTCTTCACTGTACCGCCCATCTTAGACTCAATGGAATCAAGGCATTCACCTATAGACTGAAAGTCACTCTTGATATCTGTTTGATGTTGATGATTGTGCAGAAGCCTTTGATAATTCTCATTCCAGAAGGGCAGAAAATCTGGCGATGAGTACAGCATCTGGTCAGTCACAGAGCTAGTTTGGCTTAAAGCTATCTCGGCCAGCTCAGAAGTGTTCTTGCCCATAGAGGAAACAGGTGAAGGGACATCCCCATCTATGTCTTCCCCCTGGAGAAGCAGAGGAGGGAGAGAATTGCGGCATCTCACCTGGGGATGATGGGAATTTCTCCTCCTGGGACTGGGAAGCATAAGGGTCCCGCACAGCATCTTCCCTGGACTTGTCAGCGCCGGAAGGAGCGAAGTTTGCTGTGGTGGCAAGCTGCCTCATGGCACAGGCTGTACCGGTGCCATCTTGGCCACCTGAGGTTGCTGTATATGTGAGGGAGACTGGCACGTGGAGCGGGGCTGCTGTTGCGGGTGTGGAGGCTTCTTTTTAGCTGTTCCCGCCTTCCTGTGGTTCATCTTGGCCTCCTCCAGCTGTCTGTGCCTGCAGTGGGCTTCATCCTGCACCCCAAAATTCTAATTATAGCAGAGAAGGTCGGGGCATGCAGAGCGCAGTCAGAGCATGTCCATTCCTGCCGCCGCGCGCATGCGCACTCTTTTAGTAACACTTTAGGGTAAAAAAACCTTTCAACAGCAATGCCCCCAGCCCCCCTTCCTAACACTTACCTGAGTCCTGTATCGATCCAGCACTGTGAGCGGTTTTTAGTTCTTCTTTTCTCTTTCCGTCCTCTCATAAGCTTGACTTGTCATTGTCTCCGGTCGCTGCCAGCCAAATAACGAGAGGAGGGAAAGGGGGGCAGGGCCGAGCCATGTTGTGCATATCTATAGATTGTGCCTGCATGTGTGCCCCCATAGCAAGCGGCAAATTCATTGCACAGAACAGGTGAGTATAACATGTTTTTATTTTAAAAAAATACTTTACAATTGGGGTATTAAACCCCAAAACCAAAAACTGTATTATACTGTACTGCAGCTTACCAATCATTAGGTGTGTTGGCTGCATCGGTTCTCTTTTTGTATACCTTCTTCCCTTTGTTCTCGCCTGGTGACCTGGCCAGTAACACACCTTCAGTATTAGTGAGACACAACTCTGGAGGAATGAGCACAGGACACAGCAGACAGCAGAATTGTCAGTCTGGGGAATGGGAGTGTTAAATGTATTAGCAGATTTGAATACAATAGCAAATTGAAGCCAAACTCCAGCTCGCATCTTATAATCAATTACAGCAAATGTTTTTTTTTCATTTTGGAATAAAGGTTGTACATGAATAAATAAAAGATGATCATTTTAATCACCCTTGCTAAATGGATTGTCTCATCCATGCAAACTGGTACATTCTGCTGGAGAACTTGATCTTCTGAAAAACAGCAGACTAGCTGGCTGAATCACAAGATGAAAATAGAAGAAAGAAATCCGAAAAAAGGAAACTAACGCAGCCATCGCATCTAAAAATTGGTAAGCTGCAATAGAATAAATGTTTTCTTTTGAGTTTAATACTTTTTTGCTGACCCTTTTTTTTCTTACAATATAGGGCTGTAATTTATCTATTTTAGTTTTATCTTTTAAACAGGAACCTGATTTTGCAGACTGCAACCATCATGTTGAAAGAGCAAACTTGATTATTTTCTTCCTCATTCACGATGGAACTGTTTAAAGAAAAAATCCATTTAATGTACATTTTTTACATCAAAAAGTATATAGTTATCTAAGGAATGCAGTTAGGTGTTGTGACTATATTCCATGTCATTTGGTAATTCAGTCACTGATGGGTTAAGCAGCCATTAATTGGAAAAGGCAAGACAATGTTGTGAGGACAACCCAGCTTAATCCTCCCACCCCAGCATGCCTTCATTTTTTTTTGCTACTGCCCTTAGGTGATGGATGCCTGTCTCTTTCCCTTTAGTAGAAACTTGCTCATTTCTTATTATTAAATCTGTTCTAGCAAGTCTTCTAGTTAATATATTGCCAACACAGCACTCTCTCAGGAGCTTTCAGGATTGGGTGAAGCCTAGGCAGTGCCTTGGGGGACCTGTACCCAGACCCCACCAGATAGAAAATGTGGGGCAAGCCTGTAATGTAGCTTCCGGCACTAGATGCTGCATTTACTGTAGCATTCACCTTAGCATGGCATTCAGTTAACTACAGGGTGCTATTCAGGTCTAGGGTTGTGGTCCATCTGGCAGTCGAACCCTGTCGCTGAAGACCCCTTTATGAGGTGAACCCACCCAGAGGGCGAGGATCTGGTTGTGGTGGCCTGTGTCCCTGGATTCAGGTAAGCTTGGGCTTATTGCCGTGCATGGTGCCCATTGTGTAATTGTGGCCTGGCCCTTTAATCGCCTCCCGCCCACCATATAGTACAATGACGGGCGCAAGGTGGTTCTCTCGTTCTGGGAAGATGTCATATGAAGTCCTCCCATTCTAACCGCGCATGCGCGACTCAGGGAGCACGCAGTACGGCGATCGGCGGTGCGCTGTGTCCCTCGGACACAGCGGATTACCGATCAAAGGAAAGAGCAGATGTCGGCTCGGTCATGTGATCACCTGTGTCCAATTACAGCTAATCACATGTAAACAGGGAAATGCCAGTTATCGGCATTTCTCTCCTCACGAGCTGTCACGCTGACAGCTTGAGAGGAGAGGAGAGCCGGTGATCAGTATTCCTCAGAGGGGAAATGTACACAGATCATCAGAGCACTGATGATCAGTGTGCCCTGATGATCTGTGTAGCCCCAGCAGTGCCACCTGTCAGTGTCCATCAGTGCCACATTTCAGTGCCTACCAGTGCACATCAATACCACATATCAGTGCCCATCTGAGCTGCCTTTCAGTGTCACCCATCAATGTCAGTCAGTGCCACCTATCAATGCCAGTCAGTTCCACCTATCAGTGCTGCCAATCAGTGCCAGTCAGTGCCAGCTATCAGTGCCAGTCAGTGCCACCTATCAGTGTGCATCAGTGCCGCCTATCAGTGCCCATCAGTGCTGCCTATCAGTGCCGCCTAACAGTGCCAGTCAGTTCCACCTAACAGTGCAAGTCAGTGCCGCCTATCAGTGCCATATATGAGTGCTGCCTTTCAGTTCCCATCAGTGATACCTGTCAATGCCCATCAGTGCCACCTACCAGTGCCTCCTCATCAGTTCCCATCAGTGCCACCTATCAGTGTCCATCAGTGCAGCCTATCAGTGCCCATCACTACAGCCTCATCAGCGCACATCAGTGAAAGAGAAAAATCACTTATTTACAAAATTTTATAACAAAAACTAAGAAAAAACTTTTTTTTTTTTTTTTTTTTTCAAAATTTTCAGTGGTTTTTGGTTTGTTTAAGAAAAAAATAAAAAAATCCAGAGGTGATTAAATACCTCCAAAATAAAGCTGTCACAAAAAATGATAAAAATTTCATATGGGTACAGTGTTGCATGACCACGCAATTGTCATTTAAAGTGTGACAGAGCTGAAAGCTGGAAATTGGCCTGGGCAGGAAGGGGGTATAAGTGTCCTGTAGGCTAGTGGTTAAGGGTGAACCTGGAGTGCTGACTGTAACTCCTTCAGTTGCAGAAAAACCAGAGAAGAGTTCAATCTATTTATATGTTTAATCCCATCATAGCACCTTCCAGTGGACCTTTAAGTGGGTGATGCAGGGATTATGTAATCACGGTTGGGATCCCATCCCACTGGATAGCCCCCTCAACTTGGGATCTTGGGATCCTGACATGGTTAGCCTAGCCTGTTGCCCCTCCCCAGATATTTATCTAGGAAGGAAATTGTACCTGTTTATCTACAGCTGCCTGTCCCCCACATCCATTCAAAGTGCAGCATTTACACAGGATCTCTCCGCCATGAAAAGCAGGGGGCGAGGAGCTGAAGCTATATCAGTGGGGGGATCTGTGAATGCTGATTGGAGGGAAGGGACATGCCCCCCTTCAAACAGCACACAGGAGAAAATCAGAGGCTGTCAATCACAAGCTGTGCTCTCCCCTGTCACCATTTTTTTCTTTCTGTCAGCGAAACTCATCAGAAGTGACTGATGCTGATAGTAGTTGAATGGAGCAGCAGACAGAAATTACACTTAGCGCTCCGTATTGAGACAAGCACACACTATAGTAGGATGTGCTTTGTTCATATTTCATGTCTAAGGTTTACAACCACTTTAGGGATAATGCAATAAGCACATGTTTATAACTAGAGTTACATGCATCAACCATGCCAAATGTCACCAGAATGGGTCCCTTAAAGGGGCCTTATTCTAAAACGTCTTTCCCTACTGACTTGTAGCTTCAGCCTGTATTGTGAGCTGGCTCTCATTCTGATAAGCCCCCCAACCTAAACCTAATGCTCAACAATATCCTTTTGAGTAGGAGTTCTTAAAGAAAAAAGCTGTTCTCACTGTGGATCCAGCTATTTCCTGCTTCAAATATACCTTAACGATTCCTGTTGTAGATGTTCCTCTTTTTAAGAACCCTGTAGACAAGAGTTTAGAAACCCTCTTAGGGCCTAATTTGCTCTGGTGGTCTGGATTTGCAGCCTGCAATTGACTCTTTCACTGTCTGCCAGGCTTTATCCACCATGGTCAGAGAAACTGGATCCATATTGACTATATCCTTCTGTCCTGCAGCAGTAGGAGTTCTTCCCTATGACCCTGCACTATTGTGTCCCTGGGCTGGTGGATATTCTACTTCAGGTATCCAGGATAGGTTCTTTGGCTGAAATGTCGGTCTGTGGAGCTTACCTGCAAAGCAATTCCCTGTGTCTTATGCCTAAGTATCCTAAACAGGAAAAGCCACATTATTTGAATGTAGTGCACGCTATTTGCATTTATTTCTCGGGCTATAGCCTCTTTTTGACATCCTGACTTTCATTTCTGAAAAACCCTGCAAGGGTCAGCTGCTTCTTGTTTCACTTCTGCTGTTGGATTCAGCAACTCATCAATAGCTCATCATTCAAAATGAACTCCGCTAGAAGTATTTGTGCTTTTGAGGTTTTTCAGCATCCCGCTTCACTTTTCAAATCTCGTTGGATGTGAACCTGGCCATAAGGTCCTTCAGGTGACCCTGTGACCTGTTGGGCCTTGCTTGTTCTTGTTTGAGCTTGTTAGCCATTGTAAGGTGTGTTGCCCACACCTCAGTTGGACTGCTAAGGGATGTCCCATTAGTGACTGAAATACCGGCAAGAAAATAGGGTTACATCACAGAACACATTCCCCCTCTGCATTTGTATCGCTTGCTACAAAACTAAAGGCATGCTGGCATTAGCAAGGGTTAAGCTGTGCTGTCCTTACAACTTTGATTTGCCAGTGTCCAATCATTTGAAGGTAGCTGCTTAACCCCTTTGTGAATGAATTACCAGCCTTTGTTCAGTGATGTGCACCAAGAAAAGGATTTTACAGGTAAGAAAAAAAAATCTATCTAATCTATTTTATAGGGAAGAGATCAGGTTTGTTCTTCAAACTTCAAAGCAATGACATTTGTTCATTACCACAAAACTAATAAACCTGATTATTTTATGATCAAATGTAGCATGAAGCTTCCATATTAGGAGTATACCATATGTATACCCTTACCTTGTAAAACAACCCATTCAGTGTAAAAGAAAAGCAAAACATTTGTGTACATATAAAAAGCATTTGTGATCACATACCCCCTGTAATCAGCTGTACAAGAATCTTAGAGAGCTGGGGGAGAAACAGCAGGACACTGGCCATCCCAGTGAATGGATATGCAAGGAAGGGGAAGTGTGTCAGCACAAGTCTTTTCATTGGAGGAGCATAGGCTGAGTTCTCAGCACAGCTAGAAAACTGACCACACTGTGCTCTCCTGCCTAGCATGCTCAGTTTTTTTAATAGGAAATCATAGGGATTGGCCAGAACACCAGGGATTTCGCACAAAGAAAGCAATACAAAGAGAACAGGATACTTTTTGATATATACATGGTACAACAGGCACATATTAGGAACATTTTGCACTGACATATTCTGTAAAAAAAAAGCAAGTCCCTTTATTGAGGTCCTCATTTTGTAGAACGATAATACATTTTTACACATGTGAATCAGTCAGGACATTTTAGTTTCTTACTTCCACGTGGTTTTTATGTACTGCTATGAATCTCTTCCTTTTTATTAGTTCACCATGGGGCAAATCTGTGTCCCAAATATATTCTGGAGAAAGCACTTTGGTAGGTTTATTGTATACCAAATATCTGTTGAGATGGGACTCCTCCTGCCAAATGGCTTCTATGTTCTTTTTCTTGTCCTTCTTGATCCCATTTTGGCAAGCCATGCTAAGCTTATGAACTTCTTCTACCTTCCCACCGTACAACGCTGCCATATAATAGAAGTCTCCCTTACCAAAAGGTATATAAGCATCGGAAATGGGCCGTCGCTCATATGTAAATGCTTGTGGTTCAGAAAGGAAAAATACTGGATGCAGTGTGGCAAATAGGTCACTAAGGATTTCCACTCCCATGTGGTCATTAAAGACCATGTCCACATCAGCACATACCAAGTAGTCAATCTCATTTGGCATCTGCTCCTTTGTCATGACAGTCAGGATTTCCATTCGTCGCATGGACACATCTTGCCATCGCTTGTCGGCGGACACTTCATGAAACTTCAAAATTCGACCTTCACCCATTTTGGGCTTAACTACATCATCGACTTTGTCAGTGAAAACATAATATGTAACATTATGGCCAACCATGAAGAAACGTTCTGCTGATTCCAGGAGTGGACCAAGAAACCGGATGTACCTGGAAAGAACAATACCATTGTTAACAAATACTCTAAAATAAATGAAAACACATCCTATAACATCGAATAAAGCTGCATAGTATTTGTAACACCCCCCTAGTTACAATAGGTGGAGCTAGATCACCAATGGTTAGACAGGAGCTGAATAGCAGCTCAAGTGCAATAGGCAGGGGGGGCAAAATTTAGGTCAGAGCTGAGAGACTCTGCAGGACAGTCCCTCTGGAATTTCCCCCTGCTCTGAGGTTTTGGAGGAGAGCCTTGGTGGCAGTGGGTGGATCTGAGGAGTAGTTGGCTGCACCTTTGAGGGACCTCAGCAAGTCCATAACAGGAGGCTTGGCAAGGGGCTGGACTCCCTTAAGAGGTGTTAGAGTCTGCACAGTAGCACTAGTTGGTGTTGGAAGGTGGTGGGAGAGGAGTAAGAAGCAGGAAGATGTGAGGCTGGAGGAGGAAGGCTGCCAGGAGGCCTGCTGGGATGGGGCCTGCCTGCAACCCTGCAGCTGGAAAGAAGGAGACCTCAGGACTTACTGGCCCCTGCGAGATGACCACCTGTGTGGCAAGGAAGGAGCAGCTCAGCTTGTAGGCCTGGTAGCAGCAGCCATTCCACAAGCTGTATAGGAAAGGATCTGAGGGAATACACGTGCAACCCCTGGGCAGATACCTCAACTCTAAAGGCCTGATTTCTGTTTGTGGATGAAAGCTGTGTGGAAAATGCTAATTGACTGGCTGTGCAGGACTGTAGGGGGGGCCCAAATTCATCAGCAATCCCTAAGGGGGTACTGCTACATATTCTACTAACCATTTTATGTTCCCTTTGTATTTATCTGATAAACTCATAGCATGATAGTATCAGGTCACTTGAGAGAAAAACCAGTAACACATTCTTCTAAAACTTCCATGACAGCGAGCAACAGGGAAACACATGTCCCTGCAATTAAAATGTATGTAACTTCTAACTTCTTTCATTGTTACCCTTTGGTCTTTTAATAATACTACTGAAAAGCAAAAAAAAAAATACCAATTGATCCTGACAGAAATCTTGTAAACCAATCACTTCCTGTGTGTACCACCTCTGTTGAGTGCTGTCAGTTTGCAATTTTTATGGAGATGAGAAGAAAGAGTTGTGTGGTCCTAACATGTCTTGTTCTAGGGCGGGTGTCGGCAACCCGCGGCTCCAGAGCCGCATGCGGCTCTTTTTCATCTTTGCTGCGGCTCCGGAGCACACTGCCCACCAGGTGACAGGCAATAGGGTTTCAGTGGTCGGCAAGGCAAGCCACGCGGATCGCAAGCCACATCGGGCGCCGCCTCAAAAGTCAGGACTCTTTTAATCCGGCCCGCGGATCGTGGAACATTGGCTGTCAGGATGTAGGCGGGGCAGCCAGGATGTAGGCGGGGCAGCGTGACGAACTCCTCCCCTCTCACAGTCCGCCCTGAAGACCGGAACACAGCGCGGGAACACAGCGAGAGGAACGCGCGGAGCAAAGGTAAGTGAATTGAGACAATATAGGGAATGAATTACTATAGGGGGGGTGAATTACTACGTGGGGGATGAATTACTACGTGGGGGATGAATTACTATGGGGGATGAATTACTACGTGGGGGATGAATTACTACGTGGGGGATGAATTACTACAGGGGGGATGAATTACTACGTGGGGGATGAATTACTACGTGGGGGATGAATTACTACGTGGGGGATGATTACTATGGGGGATGAATTACGTGGGGGATGAATTACTACGTGGGGGATGAATTACTATGGGGGATGAATTACTACGTGGGGGATGAATTACTACGTGGGGGATGATACTATGAATTACTACGTGGGGGATGAATTACTACGTGGGGGATGAATTACTACGTGGGGGATGAATTACTATGGGGGATGAATTACTACAGGGGGGATGAATTACTATGGGGGATGAATTACTACGTGGGGGATGAATTACTACGTGGGGGATGAATTACTACGTGGGGGATGAATTACTACGTGGGGGATGAATTACTACGGGGGGGATGAATTACTATAGGGGGGGGATGAATTACTATAGGGGGGATGAATTACTACGTGGGGGATGAATTACTACGTGTTGGGATGAATTACTATATGGGGGATGAATTACTATATGGGGGATGAATTACTATATGGGGGATGAATTACTATACGGCGTAGCTACTCAACGTGGTTCAGCTCCGCCTCGCCACGAGTACAGTGCCTGGTGACGTCAGGCCTCCTGTGTGCGAGGGGGAGGAGTGACAGAGCCGAAACCAGCGTGAGCTAGCGTTGCATGAGCGTGAAGAAGAACACAGCACTGCGCGGGAGTGAAAAGAACAAAAAAAGGTAAGTTAATTTAACGTTTTCTATGAAAAGTAGTTCTGAGGGGGGGTTAAAAAAATATTAATAGAAAAGTGACAATAATATAATAATGTATTTATAATTTGGATTACATTGGGCCCTCATATTTACCGAAGGCTATGATTGTGATTATGACGATACACTGTGGCCCTGATTAACCCTTTGCTTACTGGGCCCTTAAACCCCCTTCATGACCAGAGCGCTTTTTGCAATTTGTCGCTGCGTCACTTTAACTAACAATTGCGTGATCGTGCGACGTTGTACCCAAACAAAAATTTTTTTCAAAGAAATAGAGCTTTTTTTGGTGGTATTTGATCACCTCTGCGGTTTTTATTTTTTACGCTATAAACCAAAAAAGAGCGACAATTTGTTTTAAATGTTGCAATGGTTTTGCGGCTCCCAGTCTTTTTTTTCCCTTCGGAAACGGGTCCAAGTGGCTCTTTATGTCTTAAAAGTTGCAGACCCCTGTTCTAGGGTGACAATAGGTTCCCCCATAGATATAGTACAGTGGGTGAGCACTGTCACCTTAGGACATGAAGGCGTGGATTTACTAAAACTGAATCACTCAGAATCTGGTGCATCTGTGCATAGTAGCCTATCAGATTTTAAGATCAGCTTGTTCAGTTAAGCTTTGGCAATAAGGCTGGCCATACATTATACAATTTTCTTACAATTTTCTGTCCAATTTCCTTTAGATTTACCTTCAACTGTGTAGTGCAAGGGTCTGCCTAATTGGATACAATTAAAAGTGTTGTTTAGATTTGACCTCATATTATATGGTTATGAGCAAAATTCTCAAGAAAATTGTATAAGGTATGGCCAGCCTAAAACCTGGAAGCTGATTGCTTTATCTGCAGAGTTGCACCAGATTTTGAAATCTCCAGTTTTAGTAAACAACCCCCGAAGTGTTTTTGTTCCTGGGTGTAGATGTTAAAGCGTTAGTAAACAGGTAGTAACAATAGTAGACCCAAAAACAAAACAAAAAAATATGATACTGCAGCTTACCAATCCTGGTGGCTACATTGTTTGCTTGTTTTTCTGTCCCCACGGCTGGCCAGACAGACAGAATCGGCTTTGATCTGCTCTTCCTTATAGTAAACTGGAATCGATGACCTAACATCACCTCTGGTTTACTTGGAAACAATCGGTGCCATTTTTTGAAAAATGAAAGCATTCTTGGTGTTTTGAATGGTTTTAAGTGCAGAGGAGGGATCTTTGGTCCAGATCCCTCCATAAAGAGTACCTGTCACATACCTATTGCTCTCACATGGGATGTTTATATTCCTGTTGACAGCAATAAAAGTGATAAAACAAAAATAAATAAGCAAAAAGCTAAAAGCAACAGTGTAAAAATGTATCACGAATAACCCCTTCTGTGGAAGGATATTCATACGAAACGCATCAAGGAGGAGCCCCACTACCCAAAGACATCACGCTGCTGGATCACGGAGGTCCGGTGGCCACCATAACTAGCTGACTGGTCAGTAACATTGGCAGCAAAGGCTACTTATATTTGATTGTATACAGAGCTATTCAACTTCGTTTACCTGATCATAGTTGGATGATATATCCCCTATGTTTTGCTCTACTATGAGCTTTTAAACCCTCAGGACCCAGGTTCCATCCGACTCGGAGGATGGAATAAACTTCCTTATGACCAGACCATTTCATACCATCCATGAGAGGGACCTCTGACTGACATCGCCCTAAGCGCCCATACCATCAGAGGGGGAGTATCCCAGACCAGACCAGGTTCCATTGAAGGGAGACCTCCAGGCTGGCTAATATTAATTAATGCGCATTATGATTGCGCTTCTGGTGAGTTTGCAATCCTACTAATCTATCACACACCACCGGATGATAATCACCTTCCACTTTATGGTTGATTCCTGATATCCAGAATATATGTGCACAGCCTGCTGGATCTTCACTTTGAATAGCACCCTCTCGCCATATAATTTTATATATTGGGACTCACCTATGTGCTCACATGTATTGATTTTTTACATGATGATTATGTCTTTATTTTGATTGAGGAACATACATGTTTTAGATCACCTTAGTTATTCATTGGTTTATTTTATGCGCTGCACTTATTCGTGATACATTTGATTTTTATGAGCGGACTTGTAGTACCTTTTGGTGCATTTAGCTGCTAGCTTTGTTAGCGCTCGCTTATTCTCATTGTGTTATTCATAACAGTGTAAAATAAAATAAATTAATAATTAAAAAATGATTTTATAATGCCCTCCCATGACTGTGCGCATAGGCAAATACACGCGTCGGTCCTGCAGAGACGCAAACAGCGATTGTCCAATACATGTGAGGTTTCACCGCAAACGGCAGATCATGGGCAGTAATTCTAGCACTAGACCTCCTCTGTAACTCTAGTAGTAACCTGTAAAGGCTTTTAAAGTGTCGCCTATGGATAGTAAAATTTACATAGTTTGCCGCCATGCACAATTTTAAAGAGTGACATGTTTGGTATCTATTTACTTGGCGTAACATCATCTTTTACATGTTACAAAAATTTGGTTATGTATTGTACATAAAAATTCCAAAGTGTATTTTTACAAATAATTTAAACACTGCTGCGCAAATACCACGTGACATAAAAAATAGCAAAACCCACCATTTTATTCTCTAGGTCATCTGCTTTTAAAAATATATAATGTTTAGGGGTTCTAACTAATTTTCTAGCAAAAAATACTGATTTTTATATGTAAACAAAAGTGTCAGAAAATGGCTCAAGCAGTTAAACTAAAGTAAAAACATCTTAATTTTACAGAAAAATGTCAACTGATTGCACACAGAACGCCGACTCTCTTGCTGTCACCAAAACTAAACCAGGTAATGTAAGAAGGCTTCAGCTCTGCTCTCCACCCACAGGAGAGGCCCTTAGACGCGTTTCACCCCCTAGTTTGCTTAATCATTGGCCTCAACAATTATGCCCTCTAGAGGGCAAAAATGCATCCGAGGGACCTCTCCTGCAGGTGGAGAGAAGAGCTGCAGCCATATTACATTACCTGCTACAGTTTTGGTTACGGTGATTCAGCGTCCTGTTTGCGATCGGTTTCCATTTTTCTGTAGCATATTGTAGCCTGACAAGCTGTTTTATACAATCTGCACCAATTCAATACATGTCATGTTGGCTGATATCAGTGATAGGAGCTTTACAGCGGTAGTTCTTGTTTGTCTACATCTGAATTTTACAATTACAGTTCACTTTTCAGTTTTTCTTATCTTATATTTCTTAATACTTCTTGTAACTGTTCAACACTGAGGATGTCTGATAAAGCAGTCTTATCACACATAAACAAGTACATTGGCTCATACTTACTTTTTTACAGCAAATACAAACAGTCCTATCCTGGTGTCCTTGTGTTGTTCATTTAAAGTGTTTAAATCATATAGTCCATCCCAGATGATTGGAGCAAGCCAAGACGTGATGGCATTCAGACCAGCTTTTCTAATGACAGAAAAAAATTATTAGATCAACAACATTAAAAAATCAGCACTCAGAGTAATCTCATTAAAGTTCTGGAGGTATTTAGCAAACATCTTTCCAGGCTTTATGCAACAACAGGTACTTTCAGTCCAGGATGGACAGTCTGCCTTTTGGAGAGCAACTCCTTTCTCAATTTGCCTCAGACTCAAAAGAAACATAACCGTGGAGGAAGTTTAGTTAGCTATCATATCTTTGAAACCGCATAAGAAACTGGGTACTGACAGCTTCCGTGCAATATATTACCATAAATTTGCAGATCTCTTGGCACCCCTCTTGGTGACTGCTTTAACAGTCTTCTGAAAGGCAAGACACTCCATCAGGTGGCCCTTGCTGCCATTCTTTCTAGGCTTCCGAAGCCCAACACTGACAATGACACCTGGTGAATTATAGGCCCATCTTCTTACTGAACTTCAATATGAAACTGCTGGCTAATATCCTCACTACCTACCTAAACCCCATTATAGGATGACTGATACACAGGGATCAAGTCGGGCTCATTCCCCTTCTCCGAGCGAGTGACAATATTCGTTATGCCTCTATTCTTGGGAAAATACTACGGATATGGCGTATTCCAGCAAACTTGCTTTCATTGGACATTAGAAAGGTCTTCGATTCAGACTTCTGACCATATTTACACTACATTCTGAGACATTTCCTCAAGTGAATTTTATCTCTTTGAACTTTCCCCTAATCCTGTTTTAAATACTCCGGAGATTCTGTAGGTGTGACCCATTCCTTATAGTTCAAGGCATGAGACAAGGCTGCCCCTTATTACACTTTTATTTTATTTGCCTTTACCATTGAACCTCTGGCCTATTTAATCCATTCTTCCCCAACATCAAAGGCATCAAATTAGCCGCACACCACCACAAGCCCACTATGTTTGCCAACAATGTTCTTCTTTTCATCACTTACTCCGATGTTACTACCCCCAACTTACTGCAGATCCTTGTCCAGTTTTCTGTAGTCTCCAGCTTGGAGTTCAATCAAGCCAAATCAAAGGCTTTGACTCTCCTCCCCACAAGACTTTGCTTCCCTACAAACCTTGTTTCCTTTTCTCTGGTCCACTGTTTCCATCCCATATTTGGGCACTCGCCTGAAGACCACATGCGACTCATTATATCGGCCAACTACCCATCCATGCTGACCAAACTTACCTCCTATGTATTTCATGGGTGAGCAAAATCACAGCAGTTAAAATGACCCAGTTCCCCAAATTTCTGTACCTTTTCCATGTCCCACTGGTTAATTTACCCTTACATTATTTGCGCATACTTCAGCAACAATTGTTTCAGTTTACCTAGTGAAGGGTTCGTCCGAGATTTCCTAGGCTCACCTTTTTCCTTAATTTTTTTTTTTTTTTTGCTAAAACACGAGGCAGTCTGGGGCTCCCCCATTTGACAAAGTATTATAAAGCCGCTCAGATTGTCCAATTGACTAAATAGCATGCAACAATGGAAGGCCCTCTATGGGTGAGTCTGGAAGCAGCAGAGTGCAACCCATTGGCTATTACTAAGCTCCTTTGGTTGACCCCGAGAGAGTGTAGATTCATCAGAAACCCCACCACCTCACATTCTCCCACCCCTTGGGATCACATTAAACAGCATGCAGGCTTCTCTAAGCTCGCTTTCCTATATTATCTGTCACACAGAAACTATAATTCTTCCTGGCTTACACCTCTCCAGCCTTCTTCTGTACCTGTGTTATCTCTAACTAGATTGCACTGAATAGAGGGCATTGATGGGATTCTCCCTTTCCCAATGCTATGTCAACACCACCATCAGAACTTTTTCACTACTTTCAAATTAAATATTTGTTCCTGATTAGCCCTTCCTCCCACTCATCCATAGATCAACTTACCACATTTGAACATCTTTGTGAGAAAGACCCCCACAGTCCAGGACAGATTTCCACCCTGTACATTCTGATGCTTTCCAAGCTTCCCATGGCCTCCATTTTATGTTAGAAAATAAAAGTCTGATCTTGGTGTCACTCTTTGGCCAGAAGATTGGACTACTATATGGAGGGACACTATGTCTGTGAATGTTGCCGCACTGGAAGCCTCATACAAGGTCCTGGTACCTCGCTGGTACCTTGTTCCAGAGTGCATCTCTAAATTTGTACCAAACTGTTCTTCTGGGTGCTTTAAGAGCTGAAAGGATTCATACCTACATGCTCGGTGGATGTGCCCTGTAGCCCATAGGGTTTGGACCAAGACGTTTGATCTTCTTTCCACAGTGCTGGATAACTCTATTGCTCCAGACCTTGCTATAGCTATTCTAAATCAGCACACTCCAGATATTACCACTGCCCAATTTAAGCTTCTTTTTACAAATTATAACAGCTGCTAATCAGACAGTGTCAGCTGCCTGGAAAACCTCTACTCTTAGTATACTTGCAGTCAAACATCAAGTTACATGAGCCATGGTCCATGCAAGATTGATGTCACTCAACACAACTGTGTCCCCAAATATACCAAAACCTGGCAGCCGTAGATCGATACAATTTCTTCCTGCTGATTTTTATTTTGTGTTTTATGTTGTTTGAGCCATAATGATGTGCTCCAGACTTTTACTGCCACTAGTGGCCTTCCCACTACAGGATAGACCCCCCTCGAAACCATCCTACATTCCTCTTACCCTACCTTAGCCACCTACTTATTTCTTTGTCTTTTCTATTCACTTTTCCATCACTTTGCAAAGGACAACTTGTTTCTTGCATAAGCCATTGTTACTTTATTCACTGGCTTATAATTTCTAGCTTTGCTATATGTTTTCCTGGCCCTGTCTGGGTGGCCTTAGCCTACTCTACATAATCAATGTTTTGAAATACGTGTCCACTCTTCATGAATGTTGTGTGTGAACTTTGAAAACCTGATTTAAAATCTTTTGTGCCTGATACAATTTGGAGAAGATCTCAGGCTCTGATCCATTAGGACTGCTCCTGCAGAGTCAGCATTTACATCCTTTTTATTCCTGTTTTTGATTTTTTTTAGTACTTTCCCATTGAGGGTGGACTGGGATATTCGGGTTTACTGCACCAACTTTACACGTTGTAAATGTATAGCACTTTTATTTTTTCTCTGTGTCTCGCCTGCATTGCAAGCTCCACCTGGCATGGCCATCAAGAGCTTCTGGCTGTATCATTAACTATTCGCATGTTAAAGTGTTACTAAACCCACAATAGTAAAATCAGTCTGTATATGCAGTAAAGCATGCTTGTTATACTCACTGTGGAACCTAAAGGGTTAATCATCTGCATCGTGTAAAAAGAACATTTGACCCTTTCTTTTCTGTTCCTCCCCTTTTTCAAGTGACCACCTCTTTCCTTATCTCCTGATAAGAAAGACTGAACCGTAGCCATTCTGCACATGCTCGGTTTGGTGTGTATTGCTAGAAAGGTTTTTTTTTTTTTTTCTTGGGAGAGTGCATGTGATCAGCACAGGACCAATCAGCACTGGTCAGACAGAGGGTCAGGGGTTTTTCATCCTCCTAGAGCAGAAAGAAGACTCCTCCTACAAGCTTTAGCTAGTGCTCGGCTGGACACTGATAGAAGCCACAAGACTGCTCTAACTACTGATGAGAAAGGGTATTTAGCAGTTTATACTTACTAAAATAATTGCATTTCCATGTTCTGTGTACTGTGCGAGCGAGACCAGGTATAGTGAATGCAGGGTCTCCATTCCAATAGGGCAGGGCCCTTTTAGTAACACTTTAACTTTCAATAAAAACATTGAAACAGAAAATCTCCACGTATTGGGTGGAGCCTATGTGCTGATGTCATGACGCCGCGTCCGTGAACAGGAGTGGTGGTCATCTTGGTATGTGTAAAGACACAGTTTTGTTTTATATCTCCACGTGGAATGTTTTATCCTCATAAAAATAAATTACTACACTATATATCGATTTCTGGGCTCCTGTGGTGAGCTTTCTTCCTTAGAAGTCCTTTCTGGTTAAAGATTCCAAGTCTCCATCTGAGAAAGGTTTTACAATGCTGCCATTCCAGTAGCTTTCTGGAGAAGTCCTTTCTGGATAAAGATTTCAAGTTTCCATCTCAGAGTTTATACATTGCTGCTATACCAGTAGCTTTCTGGTGAATGCATAGTGGTGGTGGATTGTCTCACTGGATTCCACAGCACTAATTTTGAATTGAACACTACTGTGCCTTGTACTGCCACGGATACATTATTTTTGTCACTTAGATTGATTTATCTGGAACTGAACACTGCTGTGTTTGCTGTGTTGTGTAGTGCCACAGACACATTACTTCACTTTATTCACACTGATTTATTTTTGGATGCTATTTATGTGCTAATTGTATTATTTAGCTTATGGATTGATCATTTCACATTTAGTTTACATTTTGTGTGATTCATATCCTATAACTTGCACTGGCGATATAATTTCTTTTATTATACATTTATGCGCTGCACTTTTTTATATGTTTGTTTATGAGATCCATTGGCACTGTCTCTTGTGCTAGCAGCTTGGTTTTTTTTTCATATCAGCGCTTGCCATATATTTACATTTACTTAGAATGTGATTAGTCAACATGTGATACCATAGCAATAATTTCTGCAATGAATATAAGAAGTGTATGTATCACTACCCTTTTTTTTGGGTTCCCGGTCTGTCCTGAGCCTGCTTTGAAAGCATAGTCTCTGCTGACACCACTGTGAATCTTGACCAGGAGGACTCCCTGGCTTTGAACCATAAAATAAATATACACAGTTTAAACTGAGTAAATATTCTGGTTATATTGAGGTCAGAAGATAAAGAGTGCAAGTGCAACATGAATGACAGTGGATGTGCATAAAAGAAAAGTTAAACACTCTACAAGGTTCAACAAAGCAATAAAGCACATTATCACTTTAGGCAACCACAAATGTCCTGCAGAATCAGAAGATGTCTCTCCCCAAGTGAGTTGGAGTGAACTCTCAAGCTGTCAGGCTAAATCCCTTTTGGGTTCTCAGCTGCTGGTAAGGGTTATCCTGTCTGCAAGGAGCATATGCTATAGCCAGAGTTCTGTGGTTTCAGGGTCTTAGTGAGGCACTAAAGCAGTAGGCCGCAATACAGAGTGGGCTGGACAGTCTGGGCCTTATTGTGATAATCTGTGGTGTAGGGTATACTGAACCAGGGGGGACTGACCATTTGGAAACGCAGGCACTGCCCGAGGGCCCGGGGTCAGTAGGGGGCCCCATGAGATGCCCCTGGTACCTTTTTCATAGGTTTTTTGAGTTTGGGCAAGGACACAGGGGCCCCATGATCCCCTATTGCCCGGGGGCCCCATGAGTTGTCAGTCCGTCCCTGTACTGAATTGAACTATTGAAATGTACACAGTCACTTGCAACTTATGATGATCTAGGTATGAAACCCTCTCACCCGATCTGTAGCCCTTGCAGCATAAGAGGTAGTCTCTTTGTTGGTGGGCCCCCGTGTTCTTTGGTCCCTCTGTTAAGGAACGATGCTGACAACAGCACTACAATCCATCTTCCTGCAGGATTGACTGTCCTGGTCATCAGCGATACCAGCAGTCTGAAGTCCTTCTGTACCTCATCGTTCTGCATCTCAAACCAGCCCGGATCTCCAAACTCCCACACAGCCCACTACACACCGCCCTCCATCTCTCTCATTATTCACTTCCTTCCCCCCCAAGTTCCCAGGGCTTCTCAATTTATATTCACACCCCCCCCCCCCTCCAGCTCTCCTGGGAAATGTAGTCTGTTCACTCCTTACATAAGTCCTGCTAGCAGCATATAAGTCCAACAAGGCTTTACTTCCATACAGTCTGGATAACTGAACCACGGAACACTGACATCTTGTGGTTAATTCACATCCTTCAACCAGTATTAATGCAGGTTATTAAAACTGCCTCAAATCAAGGGGCGATGGGCTTAAATTGGGGAACAAAACACAGTTTCAGCTTCCCTTCATTTTATTCTGCAAACTCACTGGGGACTCATAATCTGGTTTTGACAAACTGGGCATCATAGCTGGCTCAAGCTATCCTTGAGTTCAATGCCACTATAAGGCATGCACTGCCTATAAGTAATATGGTGGGAAGGGAAGCTTAACAGTTCCTAGTTGACATGGATGAAAGAGGGAGTTACACATTAATACAAGTTCTCAGTCTTACCTTGCTATGGACAAAATCACACACTGCCTTTCTAGAGTTATATTTTGGCCCTGGCCTGCTGCCATTAATTTCAAGTAATATTTATGGCCAACTTATCGTATCTATGGCTATATGTGTAAATTAAGTCTAAAAATGTCGGATCCTACCTTCCCTTTACATCATTCAGTAGTTTCCTCTCACAATGTTCCAATTCTACGGACTTGCCATTCACTTTCTGTGAGCAGATGCCCAGCTTCTGTGAGTAGTCTTCCACTTCCTGTGAGCAGTCATCCACTTTCTGAAACCAGTAAATTTTTTGTCTGAGATGATACACTAACTCTGGGTAGTATAACCTGCAAGATAACACAAAAGTGGGGTAAATGAATACATCAAGAATACATTAAGTCCACAATTTCTAACCATCTCTTGTATCATATACGCAGTATCTAACCATCTCCTTTATCATGTCCGCAGTCTCTAACTATCTCCTGTATCATGTCTGCAATCTCTAACCATCTCTTGTATCATGTCCACAGTCTCTAACCATTTCCTGTATCATGTCTGCAATCTCTGACCATTTCTTATACCATGTCCACAATCTCTGGCCATTTCTTGTCTTATATCATGTCTGTCAGTCTCTGAGGGGAAGCCTGGAGTCAAGTGTGGGAGCACCACCAAAACGGGGGTCTTGGGAGGAGTCAGACATGTGTGGACTGTGAAAAAGAAAATAAAGGATGAAACCAGAGCTGCCAGAGAGCCATCTGCCTGAGCCCTGTATGCTGCACCTGAGAGGAAGTCAGCACCAGGGCCGCGAGGCCAGTCTGGGGAGGAGGGGTGTGTCACTGATGTAAGGGGAAGTGAATACAGTATCGTAGGGGTTGGTACTGATATAAAGGTCCCCCCTTATATCAGTGACCCCCCCTTACCTTAGTGTATTCACTCTGTGGAAGGTGGTCTGTGGTCATGCTCCACACACACACACACACACACACACACACACACACATCAGGCATTTCCCTTTAAAATCAGTGTCCTTAGACTTCCCATTTACATCAGTCTGCAAGATTTCCCTTTACAGTGCAAGGGGGAACTCTGCGGACCCTGATGTATTGGGAGACTCCAGATATAAAGCTGGACTCTGATCGTAAAGGTGGACTCCAGATGCTATTTAGGGAGCTCCTGATGTAAAAGGAGGACTCCTGATGTGAAGGGAGGACTCGTGATGTGAAAGGATGGCTCCAGATGTAAACTGATATTAAAGGCAATTAAAAAAAAACAAACAAAAAAAAAACAAACATGTTATACTTTGCCTGCTTTGCGGAGTGGTTTTGCACAGAGAAGCCCAGATCCTACCCTTCTCAGGTCCTTCTCTGGCAATCTTGGTCCCCCCCTCCTGCCGAGTGCCCCCAGAGCAAGCAGCTTGCTATAGGGGACCCAAGCAGGCTTGCTCTTGAGCCACTGCTCTGTGTGTCCATTCACAAAGAGGCTCAGCCCCACCTCCCCTCTCTCTCTCTCTCCTCATTGGCTCACTGGCTGTGACTGACTGCATTGAGAGGCAATGGCTCCCGCTGCTGTTTCAGCCAATGAGGAGGCAGAGTCCCCAGAGAGCCGAGGCTCCTGTGCACGATTGCAATGAAGCTCAGGTAAGTATTAGGGGGGGCTGCACACAGAAGGTAAAAAGGTTAAAAATCTTGAGTCTGTACAACCATTTTAAGGGGCCACTGCTGATGTAAAGGGAACTCTGGTGTAAAGGAGAACACCAGATGCTAAGCAGAAGCTCCTGATGTATAGGGGGACTCCAAATGTGAAGGGGGGAATTCTAATATAAAAGGGGACTAAATATACTTTGTTTAGTACTGGTAACAAAGTTTTCCTCAGCCCCTGACTCTGAGTGTATACATGGCAGGATTTTTTTAATTAAATGTAGGTTTATGTAAGTGAGTAAGTCTCTCACTCATAGTACAGTAATTGTACAGTATTTTGTGGGTACGAGATTAAAGAGTTATACAGCTGTTTATTTTAACAGTCCTAAATGTGATTTATTGTTTCATTATTTTTCTTGTGTTTTAATTTACATGGATGACAAAAGTGGCAGGTGGGGGTCTGGGGGAGGCAGGGAAGAGAGAAAGAGCGGTAGGGGGGCTGAGTCGCTGCATCGTCCTCTGGGTTGTACTTACCCCCTTGGCCAAAAGTTGCCAGTCAGACCCTTTTTGGTGTGCTATAGCTGGGTTATGGAAGATCCCTGTACAGACACAGCCACTCTATCACAGAGGGCATCAATACTTCTGTGTGTTCCTGTGGCCATTGCTAGCGGAACACCAGCACTGTAAGCAATAATGCTGGGCAATTCAAATTTTAGAACTATATTAAAGGTTTTTGCCCTTCTTTAGAGTGGACTTCAGTTTAGCTTTAGACCATTCTCACATTTTATTATTTTATACCAATATGGTCTCCAGGTATGAACTTAAACTTACCTGAACTCCAAAACAAAATGGCAGCCATTTCATCTTATTGGCAACACCTATTATGCACAAGATTATCTCAGACAAAACTGATTTGTGAGCATAAGAACATCTGCCAGATAGTAGCATATGAAGATCATGCTTCTCTAATGGTTCACACTAAAAGCATAGTAAGTCTGCTGTGCAGCAGCTTTTATTGAGGATCATATGAGAGTCTTTTGTATGCTGTTTAAATGCTGTGGTGATATAGGGCTCGGGATGGGGGGTTAGCTATGTTGGGGGCTTGAAAGACTCTCTTCTGCTAATCTCTTGGAAGTGTTGATTTTGATGTAGCTTTACAATACAGATATCTATGCTGCAATAAATTAATTTATTAATCCAGATGTGGTACAAAATACTACAAGACTTACGCATTTTGGTGTGTAGCCTTAGTCATAGCCAGACTATAACTAAGGCTACACAACAAAGCCAGACTATAACTAAGGCTACACATCAAAGCTAGACTATAACTAAGGCTACAGGCTACACATCAAAATGCATAAGCCTGGTATTATCTTGTACTACATCTGGATTAACAGAATCATTTATTGTGGAAGATCGAGCTGCCGGTTTCCCTTTATCTACAAGTTCCAAGCCATATGTTTAGGGCGTACCAGGGAGTGGCAGGGTCTGTTTAACCACATTTTTCATATACATGGTAAAATTAATTTTCTGGCAAAGGAAATTACTTTGAACCCTCAAACATTATGTGGTTAATTTACTAAAACGGGAGAGTGCAAAATCTGGTGCAGATTTGCATAGAAACCAATCAGCTTCCAGGTTTTTTTTGTCAAAGCTTAATTGAACAAGCTGAAGTTAGAAGCCGATTGGCTGCCATGCACAGCTGAACCAGATTTTGCATTCTCCAGTTGTAGTAAATCTCCCCCTATATATTTTCTGAAATAAGAGGCCCTGGAGAATAAAATGACTTTTCCCAACATGTTGCCATGCAATTTCCCACCTACACATTTTATGTCATTTTCCACTATGGCACATCCTCAGTTGTGAATTGAAAACATGCAAAACGCACGTATATGTTTCCAGGCATTTTATGAACAAACCCTACAGTCTTTATCAAACATGCTGACTTGTACACTGCAATGAAGTCAATGGTGTGAACAAACCTAGGAATCCTGTCAAAAATCATTTCGATCAGACTGTCTTTAAGTTATCCAGGCAGATCTGAACAGAAGCTCAGTGTTAGGTGTATGGGCAGGCAGATGTAAAAGGATGGTTTGTTCATTTACAAAAGACTACCTCCATGTCAGTCCAGGTAAATAAAAAAAAAATAAAAATTTGCACCCTTTTCTGTTCCTTTCAGACCCAAGTGTGACAGACCGGAGGAAATGTACGTACATCTTATACATCCACCTGCCCATAGACCTAATATGGGTTCAGTTTCAAGGTTAGAGGAAAATCCTGAACAGACACTGATGTCACAAAAATTACAACTGTTCCATTCTATTCCATTTTTTAGGTGGATCTGTTCATGGACCAGAATGGTTGCCGCTGTTCCGAAAGGACCCTAATTAGAAATAGTAGGGAACATTGATCAAAACTGGAGCAGCTGTGCATAGCAAACAATCAGCTTCTATCTTTCATTTCAAACCTTAATGTGTAACTTTACCCAGAGCAACTTGATAAAAAATTATGTTCTTTAGCAAGGAACATACATTCCACATGAATAATTATGCCTGTGAGTGTGTGTTGTAAATTGGCTCCAGCATTGCTCCTGTTTCTTCCTGCAGGAGGCTGCCATTTTGCTGAAGCCCAGAACCTACGAGCAGCAGTAAATGAAGATTGGCCTCTACATTTTTTAGTACAGTGCAGAAAATTAGAGAGCAACTGAGCATGTGTAGAGCAGGGTGAGCCCATGTATTACTGGATTTCAAACAGAATAGGCACTTATTTTTAATATTTTACATAGCTATACTTGCAAAAGGGGCCATCATGAAGTGATCTACAGTAGCATGACTTAATTTTCTGACTAAAGTTCCACTTTAACTGAACAGTCTGAAAATAGAATCTGGAGCAGTTGTGCATGACAACCAATCAGCTTCTGTCTGCTCCAGTTTTTAAAAAAATGCCCCCAATGTTTTTTAGTATCTATGCATTTTACCCACTTTTTGGTCTATAGCAAAATGCATGCCATGGTAGTCAATGTGAATGATGTCTAAGTATGCCTTATGTTTCAGACCCTTTAAACCAAATTCCTAACACTGAAGCAGCAGAAGCAAAGTGAAACTTTAGTCAGAAAACTAGATTACTTCATGCTGGCCCCTTATGCAGGTATAGCTATGTAAAATAATACAAATAAGTGCCTATACTGTTTAAAATCCAGTAATACACTGTTTCACCCTGCTCTGCACTCAGTTGCTCTCTATTTTTTGGCACCGTGACAAAAATGTAGAGGGAGATCTGCTGGCAGCCTAAAAATTTACTGCTGCTCAGAGGCTCTGGGCTTCAGCAAAATGGCAGCTACCAGCAAGAAGAAAAAGGTACAATGTTGGAGGCAATTTACAGCGCACACTAATTTTTGGTAGCATAATTATTAATGTGGAATGTATGTTCCTTGCTAAAGAATATGATTTTTGTTATCAGGTTGTTATGGGTAAAGTTCCACTTTAAAAAGTTAATATATAAAAGGTGTGGTTTTAAACATGTTAGGAAATTCAAAACTTCAACAGAGTGTTGCGTTTCTAGCTCTTTAATTCCATACCACAGCTCCCCCACCCTCCTCCAACGTTTCCTTTCCCTTTGGGCAAAACCTCAGCTGACAGGCCTGAAGCACCATAAAAGAGGGCGCATTGATACCCGGCGAGCTCAAACTTTAATTCTTTGATAAGCAGCTGGTCTGTTTGCTTTTCCT